TATTAGTTAGATTTATAGATTTTATATTTCTCATCAATTTACATTAATTTAAAAGCAGCCCTACTTCTTAATTATAACTAATTTAATAGTTTCTAATACTCTTTTAGATTCTTTAACATAGAAATCATTAATGTGTTCCATATACCATCTCTTTGTTTTTTTTTAAGAGCTCACAGAAAATGAATATAAATTCTTTAATTTTAACATAAAATTTAATTATTTATAAAATTTGATTATATTAAAATATATAATCTATAAGATCAATATATGAATTAAATAATCATTTTTATTTATTTTTGATTTCATTTTTACAACCTTCAATAATCTTTTTAAAATCATTTAAATTTTATACTATCTATTTTAATTTAATCGAAGCTTATTAACCTAATATATATATTTTATAAATAATTTACATTTAACATCGAAATTCTCTTCATCTTATGATTATTTAAGTAGTTTCTTATCTTCTCTTATTTATTTCATAGCTTTATCTTTTTCTTTATTTTAATCTTCATAATCTTATTTAATTTTTTAATAACCATCTAAACATCTTTAATTTATATTATCAATAGCCATAAATATTCTACCAAGATTCAAATTCTCTTCAGTGATTCTATTTTCTTCTTCTTCTTTTTCAGATAATAATTAATTTCTCTCAATCATTTTTTCTTCTATTAATTTTTGATATTCTTTAATATCATTATTTAATTATAAAACTTCATGATTTTTTTCCTTTTCATATTGTGTAATAATAAACTTCATTTTTTCACAATCAGTTTCCATTTTTTCATGTTCTTATTTTAAAATTTAATGTGAAATCACAAGTCTTTTATATCTATCAGTTATTGAATCAAGATCAGAATATTTATCAGGATAGGCTTTAATAATACTATTTAAATATTCTACATATTTTTTAAGTCTCTCAGCTATTCTTATAAATTTGAATTATTGTACCCTTTCTTTCCACATTTTCAAATATCTATTAATCTTAACTCAAATCATGTTATAATTTGGCTATTTCCTTAATTTTTTTTTCTTTTTCAGCTCTTTCACTTTAATATAAGCTAATGGCTTTTTTCTTTTTTGTTTCATTAACTTATAATTCTTTACAAAATTTAAGTAATTCTGTTTAAATTTCTTCATCTTTTTATTTAATCTCATTTTCCTTTGTCTTAAAGTCCTCCTCTAATAAATTATTTGATATATATATTTACCTTATTATTTAAATTCGAATAGTTAATTCTCATAAGCCTCATGAACTTCAAACATCAATCTTCTTTTTTCAAGTAACTTCATAGCAGGATTAGTAGTATTAACACTAGATGCTCGTTTCCTAATTTTTCTATCCATAAGAATGAATAAATATTTATAATTAAAGTATGTACGATATATCAAATATATTCAAGAGATGTATAGAAGAGAAAATAACAATTCTTACAGGAAGATCTAGTAGAGCAGATAGATCATAACTTAATTCAAGTATGATGATGTCTAGAGTAAAAACAAAAGACAATCACTATCAATTTAATGAATCTAACTCACTCAACAAATATGATGTGGAATTATCTTACCAAACAGAATTGGAATACAATCCTAAATTCCTAATTAAAAATAGAGAAAAAAAAGAAATATTATCTGATTGTTCTGAATGTTATGAACTACCTAAGATATCATTATTAGATCAACAACCAATAAAAAAATATTCAATGTGCAATAGTTAACATGATTCATCTGGAATGACTTCAAGAAAAAATACTTATAATAAATATAGATCCTTTTCTAATCGTATAAAAGCAATGAAAGTTGGTTATCTTTCATTAGATCCAGACAGTACTTATACTTAAGAAATTTTCAAATAACTATCAAATTCAAGCATTTATTAAGAAATTACAAAACCTTAAGTATGCTATATATTAATACTTAGTTAGTCAAATATCTAACCAAGTAATTAGGTAGTTAGGCCAGTGTTTAAAGATTAATTAACTTGATGTAGTTGCCTTATTCAATTACTTAAGCAGTTTATCGATCTTTCTTACTTTAGATTAGGGAGATGAGTCAGCAATGTAATAAATATTCAAGATTATAGAAATTATCTTACTCGTCTTTAATTGTTATGATTTAATATCTAAAACCTATTTAAATACAAGAGATCTATTTGAATTATTTAAATCTGGAGGTGCAGCACAAAAAGATGCAGATATCATCTTTAAATATTTAAGATTTTAAGCTATTAGAAATCCATTTGAATTGAACAATAAAATCTCAATTAAAAAGAAGGATAAAAATAAACATTAAAAATAAGTTGTTATTACTATGATGAAAGAAAAGGCAAGACGATTATCTGAATTATATGCTAGAAAACCAAATTAGGATAAGAATGTTGTTACTGAAACAGTATTTTTAGAAATATATTAAAATTCTATTCCTGAATTTTTTAAATGTCTTGTCTATATATTAGCCAATTATAATTGTGATTGATGAAATTTTTATATATATATATTCTACTTTATTTAATATTTTGATTATAATTATGAATATTCATTATATAAAATAGAATTCTTAATCAATTAAAGTTTTAGTCTAATCCTTAATTTATTTAAGATCAGGGATTGGATTATTCTATATTACATTATTTTATAACTAATTATATTCTTAAAGAATATTGATATATTCTGTTGGGAATATTAATGTATATCTAGGATCATCATTTACTTCATTTTATTATTATATCTATTCTAATACTTATTTCTTTCCTTTCAGTTAATCAATCAATTAATTTACTTTCTTCATCTTATTAATATAATTTTATTTAATTTTTTCATTAATGTTACCTAATTCTTTTGGTTAATCATCTTCACTTAATCTTTCATTTATTTTAGTTAAATCTTATTCTTAAAGATCTAAAATATCATTAATATCATTTTCCACTTATTAAAATCTTTCAGCATCAACAAATTCATCCTCTTTTGGTAAAGTTTATGTAAAAGGATCATAAGTAGTATTTATTAATTAATATGGTAATTATATACAATCTTTAAATATAGCTAAATTAGTATCTTGATTTAATGAATTATTGTAAATGCATTTTGTCAATTTATAAATAAAAGATAAGGATGAATCAAAAGAACAAATACCTTAAATCAATTTATTAAGATCAACATTCTTTCCATGTTTAGATTAACCCCATATACCTGTTGTTAATAATTAACATTTTATTGATTTTATTCTGCTTGCTAAATCACAATGATCAATTTAAAAATATTAGAATAAGGTTTCTGAATGTAATTTCATTAAATGTTCTATGTAATTTAATCTTTATTCAGTATTAAGTAATAATTCTTCACTATAAGGGTAATCAAGTTTTTTTAGAAGAAATTCAAATTTTTATAATTTCATAAAAAGTTGATAATTATTATATTAATAAAGAGAAAATCAAATTTTGAATGGATGAATAGTCATCGTTGACATTTCTTTACATTATTTTTCATTTTTAAATCTATTTTAATCTGAAATTATTTTGACAGGAGAATTGGAGAAATCTTCTACTTATATTGAATTCATTTAAGTTAAATTAGATTTAAGTGCTTATTATCTCTTAGAATAACTTTATGTATTAGGAACAGATGTTTATTATTTCTTAGGAGCTGAATATTATTGTGATACCTTTGATACATTAAATAAATCCCAATTTCCTTTTAAACAAGCATGATATTCAGAATATTTTTCAGCTCTCATTCTTTTAATATAACTTCTAATCAATTTTCCATTTTGAACTGGATTAACATCAAATACTGAACATGGTTTTATTGAATTTCTTCTTGAATACAATAAACTACCATCTTAAGATTAATCAAGTATCGGTGTTTTATATTATTTTGATTTTATAATTCCTTAACCTGGTGATGCTCCTGCATCTCTAGTTAATTATTCTAAATTCCATCTAGGTAATTCAGATAAATCTTTTGACCAATATAAATTATAAAAACTATTTTTATCTTCAGAATTATTATTTATTTATTATTATTATTATTATTATTATTATTATTATTATTATTATTATTATTATTATTATCCATTTACTTTAGAAACTTAAGGCATTTATATAGATCTATTGATTATTTATACTTATTATTTTTATCTTAGTATTTATTAAATCATTAAATTTCTCGCCTTTGCTAGTTTCTCTAATTACATTATATTAAAATAATTTAAACTATCAACTACATAACAACAAAATTAAGCTGATATACATTTGACTGTGTATTTTCTTAAAGAATCTCTTAAAAATTCTTCAAATCCAAATATTTATAATGCTCCTAAATTATATATATTTGTATTATTATTTATAAAATTGACTTCACCTGATATAATCATATAAATCCATTTTCTTTTATCTTCTTACTTAAATATATAATCTCCATATTTAAATTATTTCTCTTTTAAACAAACACTTAATAATTATAAATCACTAGCTACATTCAATTTTTCAAGAAATGAATGTCTAGTTTCAAAACTTCTCCAATATTTTTCATCAAATTACAATTCTATTAAAATACTATCCTTCTCTGCAATTACAGTATAAGAACGTTTACCTTTTGCTTCTCCAAAAGTATCTCCAGGGAATAATTATGCAAAAGGAATATTTTAATTTGATTAGAAATATTATCTACTCAATAAAGTGATATTTGGTACTAATTATAGAACCTAAGATATAAAAATATCATTTGATTGTTATCTCATTAATTTTTATTTTGATGGTGTGCAATCATCTTCTTTAAAAAGGCAAGTCAGTTAGCCACATAAAACATGATATAAATTTTTTCCAACTTCACCTTATTAAAATACAATTGAATTAGCTTTGCATATGATCATTTTACATTAAATATTTTGAATTTAAGGATTTATATATTAGAGTTTGTATTTCTACGTTTACATGATTTGGTAGCAATCTAAAACATCATTAATATTATTGATTAAAATCATTTTATTTATAATTTATAATGAAACCAATTAACTACAATGACGATGATGAACTCTATAATACCCTCTGTAAATATTCAACTTTTATCTCATAGTCTACCCAAACTAAAGAAATAAAAGAAGTCATACACTCATTACTAATCCAAATAACAACAACCTGTAAAAATTTCAATCATAAAATTTTAAATAGCTAAGAATAAAAACTGTTTGCTCAATAGATAAAATAAATTCAAAAGAATTTTGTGAGAAAGCTAGAAATACAAAAAGAACCCAATAAAGAATAAAATAAAGTTTAAAATATATAGAATCAATCAAATTAACATTCTTTTGGATTTTTTTAACCATGCAACAACATATTAAAAAATACATAAAAATATTAACCCTCTTTAACTCAAATCCAGTTTAAAAATGAAATACTTCCATAACCTATACACCCTAGATTCAAAGTTTAAGAAAATTTGTAATTTAAGAAAAGTCAAACTTTAGATATTTGCAGTGTATGTTTTTAACCAAAAGATGCAGATCATCAATGTAATGATGAATATGGATTCATTAATTGTCCATATTGTAGTGAAACTATAGTTAGGAATTTTTTGGATGACCATCTTGTTGATTGTATTCCATACATAGATCATTAATTTTCAAACTTAGATAAAAAAGAAGAATGCATTATTTGCATGGAAGATTTAGTAAAAGATAAATAAACATTAAAATGTTCTCATTCTTTTCATAAATCTTGTATTGATTGTTGGATAATGAAAATTCAAGAGTGTCCTGTGTGCCGAAAACCAATTTGATAATATATAATTATTAGTATTCATTTTGGTTGATGTCTTCAATGATTTGGTTATTTTAAACAAACAAATTCTATTATGAAATTCTACCTGATAAGTATTAATATAATTTTAAACAATATTTACTATTTTTAATCATTACATTTGTCTGGTTATTAATTTTTAGTCAATCTTGAAATCAATTTAAATTGAAATTATAAGCAAGTGATTTATAATTGATTTTTAAAAACTTTTTAAATTAGGAATAGTATAATATACATTAATGAAATTCATTATTAGAAGGTATTTTTAATACATCTTCTTATTATTTAATTAATTATTTACAAATAATACTATAAATATATAAATATGAGGCAATTTTTTTTTTTAAAATATCCTTTTTTTATTGAATTATAAATAATTAATATTATAATTCAAGAAATATAATAAATAAAATATCCCCATTAATAATTAATTACTATACAATATTTTCAAAGTCATTTAATATACTTTATATTTAACAATATTTAATCATTCTAAGAATTATCTTAAGATATATGTTATTAAAAAAACATATTTAATTATTATCCAATATAATTTATATTAACTTTGAAAGAGGAAGAAATGAACAAATATACATTAGAATTTAAATCAAAAAAGTTAGAAGATGAATATTAATAATAAAGAATTCATACTATCAGCATACCTGTGTTTTAATTTGGATCAGCATGCATTTTTGTTGTTGCTACTTTTAAACTTATATTATTGGTTCTATAAAATGATTTAGAATTAATACCAATATTGATTGTGTGCCAACTATTTTCTGTATTGTCATTTATTTTATTGCATTTTAAAATACATAAAATTAACTTATAGCTGATTTTGTTGTCTTACTTATTAATCGCTTATGAGCTAATTATTAAAACTGATACGAGTCTTTAAGCATCGTCCTTATATTAAAGTAATTTTACAATGTGTGGAGTAATTATAATACTCATTTCAGAGTTCAAAGAATCTTTAATTATTATAATATCAACATTAACATTTAAGATAATATATACATTGATGATGGAATCACAAAAATCTTATACTATCTATGGCTCAACTCTTATAATCATGTTTTTTATGTGTTTTTTTTCTTATAAATTAAATGTTTTGAATAGAACCAGTTTTCTTTTAAGTTAATATGATTACATGTGGGGTATAAAGTTATATATTTTTAGAAAGTGTATTTCCAAAAATTGTTGATACTCCATATTTAATATTTACATTTAGCGAAGAAAAGTTAGAATTTGTATTCAAATCTTAAAGTAATCTACACTTTGAGTGCAATAATTCTTAATAATTAAAATAGTTTTTAAGAGATTGGCATTTAAATTAAGATTCATTAGAAAATACACTATATAAATTATATTTAAATGAAGATATTAATGAATTTCATTCGAAGAAAATCTAAATTATAAAAGATAATAAAACTAAGTAATATATTCATTATTCCATTATGAAATCATTATCATCTACTTTTATTATAAAATTTAATGATTCTTTAATAAAGATGGATGATTGTAAAATTATATTACAAAAATCATTTAAAAAATAAGAATAATTAAGAATGAAATTAATAAAAAGTATTTATAAAAATTTACATGTTTCTTTAAATCTAAAACAATTAAATAATTTATGGTCTATTAGAAACAGTTGCTTAAAATAAATTATGAATTTCAAAATTCTAAAATATCAATTTAAGACATAATAATTTGATATTAAAAAACTCTTATATTTAAATGATTATTTTCTTTACAAACATAATAGATTAACTTTTTTTAACCCAAAAAATGAGAATATTATGACTATTGTAATATAATTGAAAAGACTCCTTTTTGAAATACTTGATATGACTTTTTATTAAGGTCAAGTTGATATATAAGTTTTAGAAACTGTTACAATATAATATGAGGGATAGGAAATTAATTGTCAAAAGGATCCAGTATTATAATTAGTTTGGAGTACCTTAGTTGAAAAAGCAGAAATGCAGAATAATTTTTGGTTAATATAACTTTATAGAGAACCTTGTGTCAATTTTACAAATTAAAAAACTTCTAAATGAAATATAATTATTAGGTGGTTATACATTTTTATGCTACTCAAAAGTCAAGCTCAGCTAAACTTAATAATTCATCAGTTGTTAATTCATCATCAGCTTATTTTTCTCCATAATCATATTCTGGATTTTAATATTATAAAGCCTAAATAGATTTACTATTTAATTACTTTAACAGCTTAATTATATAGTCCTAAACAATTATTTATTCTTTCTCCATATGCTTCTTAAGGTGCTTTAGTTCCATAAAGATCATTAGTTTCTTTGGTTATAACTATTTAATTTTCATGATCAATAACAGCTGCTAAAGTTCCATCTCTTATGGCTTTTGCTACAACCTATTCAGCATTACATTAACTTGGAAGATTTAATTTTTCATGAATATCATTTAATGAAATTCTAGAATAAGATAAATTAATTCTTCTTAAACCAGCCTTTATAACTATTTATGGTAATCTAAAGTTAAATTATTCAAAACTTAATACCTTTAAATTAAGTTATAAAGTTTGTCTCTTCTCAATATATTTTCTGATCTTGCTACTTCTTATTGGAATTCTCCTAAATTTCCTTTGATAACAGTTGAAACAATTCTATAGTAAGGATAAAGAGCTTATTAATATTCAGGAGAAGTGAAGGTATCTCTATTTGGGACATTACCTAGTAACAATTCAACTAATGCAATCACTTTGATAGCCTAAACTTTAAATCCAAAAGCTGTATTATCTGGAGCTTTATGACTTGCTTAAGTTAAATTTTTATAAGCTTCTTGGTATTCACCTCTTATTGCATGAATGAGTCCAGTATAATATAAGAATCTAGCCTATTAATTTCCAAAAGCATGTTCAGGGAATTCTGTCTTTTTTAAGAAATTATAACTTTATTCATATTAATTATAATGAATAAAGTTTCTTAAAATTAAGTTAATTAAAATTGCTTAACCATTTTCATCTCTATTTTAACATGCATTTCTATAACCTTCAAATAAGACACTTTAATATTACATATAAATACTCTCTAATTTAATTGAGTTTGCCTAATTTCTCATGTGATTTTGATAAATATTCATAGATTACTCCTAATAGAGTATCTAAATATCTTTTATTATTTTATTGAACTTATTATAATAATTATTTTCCAAGTACATTCACTTATTCATATGCCTCTGATTATTTTTATTAAAAGAGCCAAATTAGATAAAGGCATTGAATAAATACATTCACTTCAATTATTTTAGTTAATTTTGAAACAACTTGAGCACTTAATCCTAAATCTTCTGTGAAATTGGCATCAAAATCATTTCCTTATTAAACAGCTACATTTGGAAAGAATGTATTAAAGAGTTTGGCCAAATGATGAGACTTTACAGTCTAAAAATTAATGAATTTGTATTACATTTCTGAACTTTTTAACAAAGATTGATACTTTTTGAATTGCTTTGATGTCTTTAGAACTGACTGCCTTTTCTAATAATAAAATTTAGAGTTTGATTTCAGAGAGGACTGTTTTTGGTTTTTGTGCTTGAGCTTAAGGTTATTAAGCAGATGAAGCTTGTGTTTAAATTTGAGTTTTATCTTGAGTTGCTGCAGCTTATTATTCCATTAATTTAAATTATTGAAATTAAATATAAGACATTGGGATAAATTATTACAAATTAAATAATCACAAAATAATATTCCAATATTGTAGAGTTGATGATTCTAATTACTACAATCATAACTCAGATGTTATCTATTACTTTAGGAAATTAATATAGAATTACTAAAAAATAATTTAATTTAAAATAAGAAATCTTGTAGTATAGTTGGAACAATAAAATAATGAGAGATAACAATTTTTGAAGAATGAAAGATAATAATAATTCAAGTTTAAAACTCTTATTTAAATTGGATTTTTGATAATATTAAGATAATTATTGAGAAACTATTTACAATAAAAGGATATTTGATACTTTTTATAAAGAAAGGAGTTTTACTTTATATTTATATATTTATAAGTTAACCTTAAACTTATTAAAATTACTATTAAAAGGACATAAATTGAAATATAATTGAATACATAAAACCTAGAATAATAAGGAACATCAAAATCAAAGAAAAACCTAAATAATCACCATAGGTATTCAATATTGTTAAAATGATATTGAACTATTTTTATTTATGAAGAATATTTCATTCCATAGGATTTTTAATTTAACCATATGCTTAAGATTGACTCATAGGAGGATATTAAAAATTTGGTATTTAAGCATTTGGTATTTAAGCATTTGGTATTTAAGCATTTGGTATTTAATTTTATGGCTATTATTAATAAGGTGATTATTATAGGTTGCAACTTGATCTATTATTTTAAGGTGGTTATCCATATAATTACTACATAAAATTAGATGGATTGATTTGTTAAGAAGCTCTACCTTATTAATATGATTAATTTATAGTTTATTAATAAGGATATCCCTATTATTAAGGAGGTGGATATTGTTGATTTACTTAAGATTATTATGAAGTATAAGCTGGAATTTATTATTAATATGGAGGTTATGGTTGCATTTATTATTAAATTGGAGGTGGTATGTTAGGTTATTAAACTTAAGGTATAATATTAGGTGGTGGTATATATTGTTGTTGTGACTCTTATTATTTCATTTGTTAATTTGCCATAGTCATGCCCAATTAATTGATATCTACAAATTAAGGAGGGTTTGGTTTTTTGCCTATCAATTAATGATATTTGACTATTTATTCTGGAATTTCAGCTAATACATGTCTGGCTAAATTAACTTGATTTCCACCAAAATTACGAAAAGGAACAAATTATACTAAATCTCTTTCAGCCTTTCTGTTACCAGAATAAAGACCTAATAAATATTTAAGTAAATATACCTTGATCTCCATCTAATTCTTCCATCATAGCAAAGTTTTCATTACCAACTCCAATTATAATAATAGATAAAGGTAATCTAGCACTGTTGACAATTAATTATTTAGTTTATTCCATATCATGAATGATACCATCTGTCAAAATCAATAATATTGTATAGATCTACATATATTAAATTATAATTTACATTTTATTCAGTTTATTATTGTACATATATTTATCTGAGAGCTTCTTATATAATAGGTCCAAAGTATGTGGGACCTGAAAATGTAACATTTGCAAGTGCATAATTGTAAAGATTAGCAATTCCTTATAATTCAAAGGCATTTAATTAATTAGGATCTCCAGATAATGGAAAACAATGAGAAACTTAACCTGATCTCATTGTAGGATAGTTTAAATTAGCACCAAAACCAAAACATGGAACCATTTTATCAAAATCATATGCTAGAAGTATTTCTCCTACTGCATTAATAGCAAGTTAATATTAATTTAAACTATGTGGAGATCGAAAGTGCAAACTACCTGGTTAATGAGGTGCACCATTAGAACCAGTAAAATCGATTGCAGTCATTAAATTTAATTATAATCCTCCTCTTATCTTAATGTAATATATAATATTTATACATAATCTTAAAAATTAGGTTTAACATATGTGCTAAATTAATCTAATCTTAATTTTCCTGGATTCTTATGTTTAGGATTTGTTAATTAATATTCTCTAGTTTATTATAATTCTGGAATTGTTGTTATTAATTCTCCAATAAATTGATGTTTTCCACTTTTTTCCCAATCCCAACATTCAATTTTAATTTTTTTATCATTTGAATGAGCTAATTTAACACTTTATATTTCAAATGTTTTCCATAATGGATTTAAATTATCTTTAATAACTTCAGTCTCATATGTTTGAATATATGTAGAATCATCTCTTTATCTATAAAATCTAAGAAATGGATCTGATTTATCAAACCATCCATCTGTATTCATTAACTTAACTCCACTCCATTTCATTATCATTACTTCATTTCCTTCTTATATCTTATCACACCTTATTATAAGTTTACCTCTTCTTTAACCAAGTTCTAAAATAGAAGTTTGATTCTTTGCTCCAAATAAAGTACCAATTGTTGTTTCTATTTAACCAATTAATTCTGAATTGCTTCCATCATCATCTCTTACTTCAAATTTAATAGGTTAAACTGTCTCAAAGACATAATCAAGTTGAAATGATCTCTTAAAATTAGGATTTAAATTATTTTGAATTGTTTCTGTATTCCCAATCTTAATCCATTAGTTATTTGTTTTAATATAAACTATTACAAAAGGATCTGATTTGCTGAAATAATCCAAGTCTTTTAATTGTCTCCCAGAAATGAAAATCTCAATTTACTAATAACAATTACTATCCATTATATTTAATTATATAAAATAACACACTCATCCATATTTTTAATATTCCCAATTTCGATTATCTAGTGGACAAGTCTACCTATTCTTTAACCATCTCTCTATACAATGAAAATGATATGCCTATAATAAAATTCTTTTATACATGATTACATGTTCCCCAAGCAACAATACATTCACCTTATCCTTCCTATGCATCACATTCAATACATTTTTCCATTATATGATTTTTGCATATAGCACAATTGTCAACTTTTATATCCCAACTCCATAAAGCAACAGCATTCCATTTCTTTATTTCAAACACTCTTTCTGGTTTTTAATCCATCTGAATTTATTATACTTTTTTTTTATTTTTAATCAAAGCCAAAAAAAACTATAGGTACCTATTTATCTATTTTATAGTATCAATTTTTCATTCAAAACAACCATATATATTAGACTTTTAGTTTTGATTTTATTTTTATAATGTAGATTCATATCTTGAAAATTAATCTATTTAATATATAAATCATAGTAACTTTTCAAATATATTAAAAGCTGAAATTTTGGAACATACCTCAATTTTATGCTTAGGGGATTAATAAATTTTAAATATATATTTTAGTATCCTGAGTCTTAAATATGCTCAAATCATTTAAAATCAATTTAAAAATTATAGAAGGAATCAGTCCAGCTAAATGTTTAATAGATATTATCAAACCAAAACCCGATTTCAGGAGAGTTAACAATTATTTTTAATTTATTTAAGTTGATGAAATATAATTCAATTTATTATAAATTGATCATGTTTTTATATATTATATCTTCAAAAATAATCTATTTAAAATGGTAGGACCATCTCTAATTTAAAAAATAGAATATAAGTTTCTCAAAGAAATTATATAATTGCCAAATCAATAAGTTGATAGATTATTCTACTATTTAGAAATAATCAAAATACTTATAGACTGAAAAAAGAATAGAAAATTTGCTTAAAAAATTACAATAAACATATAAAACCTTCAAAAGGACCTAATCCTTTATAAATATAGAAGAAGATTGGAGAAAAGACCAAAAATATAAGAAAAGAAATATTAAATATTAAATATAAAATAGAAAAACTAAATATCAGAAATATTAATTATTACATTATTGAACAAATTCTTTGATATTTAATAAATTTTGTTATTACTATTATCATTGACAAATTATCTGTATTTTTATTTATCTAAATCAAATTATATATATATTGTAAATATAGTAACTGTTTATTTTATAACTATTTTTAATCATTATGATTGAAAAAAAGTTATTCTTTTTTGTATTCCTTATTCTAATATGAGTTAAATGCTATTAAAACACTAAATTTATTGTTGAAATTAAGATCAGCAAATAAAACTTAAGTATTACAAATTATAAATCAAATTATTATCCAAATACTCTCATAATGTGATAAGATTATAAATTTCAAGTTTTTTCTGACATAAATTAATATTTATGCTAACTTTACATCATAAAATAGCTTCCTAACCTGATTTAAAAGTTGAAAATACACATTAAACTAATCCTTAAATTTTAAGGTCTTTAAAACCTGCTTAATTTCTGAATAATCTAGAACAACTTAAAGAAAGCGAAAGTTAACTTTTCGTACCTCTTAAAGCAGAGGCTATATACTAATAAGGTGCACAAACCGATAGAGTTTAAGAAGTGAACATTCGTTTCCCTAAAATCTAATAAAATTCATCACAACTCATAAATAAACCTTTAAACCTGATGCCTGAATCAAAGCATAATCAACTTAAAGTCTAATTGTAGAATATTTTTTCTCAGTAAAATTCTCTCAGTGATTCTCATATTATATTGCCTGGGCTTCATAAATAAAGAAAAGAATCACATATGTTTATAAAAATGATAGAAGAACAATTGAGTTTCCCAAATTAAGATTCATAAAGAACAGTTTAAAATAGATTCAGCAGAAGAGGCAAGAATTAAACTTAAAGTTAAACTAACTTAGAAACACCAATATTTTAGGATTCAGAGAATACATAATAAGATGATCTCAATAATTAAAGAAAAGTTGAATTTTAAAAACGTGTTAAGGTAATTAATCTACAAAATGGAAGAATAGCAACAGAAATTATAAAAGAAGAGGATGAAATACCACCTCCTATAAAAGTTAAAAGAAAATTTGTTTCCTAAAAAACGAAATTTTTTCCTGATAATTAAAACAAATGATTTTCCAATTTGTATTTTCTTTATCAATAATTATTAATCTTAATAATTAATTATGTTGAAGTAATTATAATATCTATAGTGTTTCTCTCATGTAAATTATTAAACTAACGATCTGACATACTTTTTACATAATGGACAAGATCCTTTAGAGGCCAACCAAGAATCAACACATCCTGAATGAAATCAAAAATTATTAAATAATAATACCTATGTAAACATGGCAAAAATCTAATTTTTTCATTTTCCTCAAAATTTGAAATACAAATACTACATTTCTTGTTTTCATCATCCCAACAGGAGGCTCTACTCTATCTAAATACAATCTCACTCAAAGCTGCAATTTCGTTTTAATCTAATCCATATTTTGGTTATTAATGCATCCTTCTTCTTCCTTATTCTTATCTTCTCATTTAATGACCATAATATTCTTATTCCATTCTATTATTTTATTAGTTTCTTCTATGTTAATGATGATGATGATATTGATCATAATGATAATTTTATAATTAATTATATTATCTCTAATGATAATAGATATTTTAATGTGGATATCTCATTTAATTATTTTAATATTATTGATCCTACTAATAATTGGCTTATTAAATTTATTATTGATTTCTATTTCTTTAGACTCCTTCTTAAGAATTAATTTCCTAAATTTATTGTACATTTCTTTAATTCTATTGTTGTTAAATATTTTGCCTTGTTCCTGCAAATGGCCTTTCTTAAGTTTCCTTTGATTCCTCTATTAATCTAATTGGTATCAAAGAACAATCTTTCAGGTATTTATCATATATAGATTATGCATTTATATCATTGTCATAAAGTGGTTATGAAATCAAGAGATTCTCTGAAATTACATGATTTTGTTAGTTCATTCTATTAGCAGTTAAATAAATAAATTTATAAATTAATAACAGTATACTCATTATTATTTTAATAATTTTCTAGCATAACTCTCTTATTTAGAAAAACTTTTCCAAAGTAATCCAATAGCTGTCATACCTCCAATTGCTAAAATATAAAATTTATAATCTTTAAATATGCTGTAATTTGCTTTTTATTTCATTTTTCTTAATTCACAAATAGTTTTATTAATAATAACTTTGCATTATCCATATCTTTTCAATTCATAAAATGCCATATTTTATTGTGTGATTGTATGGTTAATAATATTGTTTTATATACAAAAATTTTATGCTAGTCTATTAGCTGAAATATAACACACCTATAAATAGATAAATAATAATACTTTCAATTTAATCAAGAATTTCTTCTATCCTACATATAATTCCTTTAAATCAAAATATTTTTCATAATCAAAATTAATATCTCCATTAACAAATAATAGAACTGTAATTGTTTTTAATTTATAATAATCATTAAATGCTTAAAAGAAACTAAATTACAATATATATTAATACTTATCATCAGTGCTCGTTTAAAAAAGCAATTATTTTAGAATATGAGATCTTATTTTATATAATTCTTCTTTTAATTATGAATTTGTTATACGAAACTTAACATCTATATAAATTAATTCTCCTTTATTAAGTTCACCAATTTCTTTGAAATATTCGTTTTCATATAATTCTATAAATTCTGAGTTTTGTAAAAATCCACTTTTATTTTTTTTTTCAATTGATTAACTTAATGTGCTGCTAGTATTATTAATATTTTCTTCTGGAACTAATAATTGTCTAAATTATAAGATTAATTTTTTCATGGAAACAACTGATTTTGCAAAAAAGTATTTTGAATGAATCTTTTAACGTTATTACAAATCAATTTAATCCTATATATATCTAGTTAATATGGTTTCTAATGTTTTCTTATCTGAAATCTACTCTATTAATGATCTATATAAAGTATTTGTTAATATTTGATCACAATTATCCGTAATTAAGTCATAAAAATACTTTTCTAAAAAATGTGATTAATTTTCAGGCCCAAGATCATGCTCCCAGCAACTCTTTGAACTCGAAATATCATCCAGCATATTAATTTCTAAAGATATTTAATAAATACAAAAAATATATATATTTATATTAATATTTGCAATAAATTAATACATACTTAACCTATCCTTTTTTAATAAAATTACATCTAAAAGAACAAGAATTATGATAATATTAATTTAAAAAAGTTAATGAATAATCAATTATATTTTATGGATAAGAATGTTAAAATTGTTTATCATCCCTTCATCCTTTGATATATGGTCTTATTGATAGACTTATTAATCAATTAAAAATTTTATTAAAATATGTTTATTGCTGGATTTAAATATTTTTATTCTTAGCAATTTAATTATCTAGCACAGATGGAATGTTTGAAAAAATAATGAACAAATAATATTTTCTAATAGTGCGACAAGTAGAATGATAACTTAAATCACTTCTGAAATTAATTTTAGCTATTATATACATACTTCCTTAAATAAAGAGTTTTCTTTATTTTTTTTCCTTTATTTTATTAAGTGAGGTATAATAAAATGATAATCAATCTATTTTCTAAATTTTTTTCAGCAGTATTTCTTCAAGATAATCATTTCTAATATCTAAAAAATAGTGAAATAATTGGATTTATTTTAATTGGAATACTATTTTTTAATTTCATTTATTTTATGCTCTTCTCTTACTATAAGGATTCAAGAAATATCCTTATAGTAAGAGAAATTTGATCTTTTTTTAACAACATTATTGTTGATTTATTAGGATTGTCCATAATTTTCTATAAGAGGGAGGTTAATAAACAATTAAGAACCGCAAAATGTTAATTAAGAATAGGCTAGTATATTTTAATTTGTGGAGAAATCTAGAGAAATTTGGAGTAATTGAGAGAATGAATTTACCAATTTATACACAAAGTATTATATTGGTATTTTTGCAGATTATGAAATATCAATAATGATATTATCTGTATTTAAAAAGAAAGGTAATATTGAGCTTATGAAAATATTCCTTTAAATATTTTTCCTTATTCAAAATTATTTGTAGTGATTGGTATTAATCTTAATAATATTGATATTTAAAAGATATAATTAGTAGAAACATAGAAAAAATTTGAATCCTAAATTGTAGAAATTTGAAAGCATGGATTAGGATGATAGAATATTCTTCTTATTTAAATTTAAATGTATCATTTATCATTATTGATTGGTTCATCTTCAAAAGACCTCTCTATAGAATTGACTACTGCAAAAACCACTCCATTTAGAATTACATTATACTACCTATGTGGATCTAAAGATATATATGTGTTGATAACTTGTATAATCATATTCTTTTGGTTAAACTTCAGCTTGAATTTTTATTGGGTGATATAATATAGTATTTTGTTTATCTTAAGTTATCATAAAATTTTAAAGGTTTAATTAAGACCTTGTAGAATAATTAAAGGATTTATTTTTCTTTTCCTTGGAAACACAAACTCCCATTCTTCAAAAATATTAATAAATATATGTATTAATATTTATAGATACTAAAATTGATAATATTAATTCATTAAGCAATTTTTCAGATTATGCCAGCTATTTTTTAAAAATAACTCAATATATTCATTATACATTAAAAACGTGTATAAATAGGAAAGATGATTAAGTCTTTCTATAAACGTGATTTGATTATTATGAATAATCTAGTGAATAATCAAATTAAAATTAACAAAAAATAAACGATTTCTTTTAGCAAAAATCATTAGTTTTGTTTTTATAGATTTAAGAGTTCGTTAATTTTTTTAATTTACTTAATTTTTAAATAAATTTACAAACTATTAAACATAGTTAATTAATCAAATCTCAATTTCATTTTACTATAATATTAAAATTCTTAAGTTGTCAAAAACATGATTATAAATTAAATACTCATTTACCAACATCTTATCAAAATCTAAATTAATCTAATTTTATCATATTACTTGAATTTTTAAATATAACAAATAGTTATTAAAATTTATAGTGAAAAATTTACAAATCATTATCAATTAAGATGAATTGTGATTGTGTACCTTTAAGATCTGAATTAGAAAATATTAGAAATAAATAATCAATTTTATTAAGAGACCATTAAATGCAATTAGAATTGATAAAACAAAAACTAAAGAATAATATGAAAGTTTATTGCACAAAACAAGGTTACTAAAAAATAAATGAATAGGGAATTAACAAATTAAAAGAAATAATTGTTATAAAAAATTCTGAAATAGAAATTCTAATTCATACTAACTAAAAATATCGAGCTTAGTTAAATTAGGAAGAATAAATAAGCAACTTAAAGATTTAAAATCTGAAAAAGGAATCTCAGGATATTGTCTCATTAAATATTATATAACAAGGAGAAATTAATAAATTTAAGTTGGAGCAACCTTAAAGAGAAGATTTATTAAATGAATAATATTAATTGCGTTTAGAAGAAATTTAGAATTATTACTCTTAATTCTTAAAGCTAAATGGAAAAGAGAAGTATAAAATGCTTAATAAATAAGATGAATTAATGTAAAAAGAAAAAGTACTTAATGAATAAATAAATAATCAATTTTCATTAATTTAATTGTTAGAAATAGAATAATTAGATAAAATATCAATAATCAATTATAATGAAAAGGATCTATAAAAATTTTAGATTGATTAATGAATTTAAATAATTAATAAAAGAAAAACAAAAATGAAAATTAATGGCAACAAAAATCTATTTACAATAATTATGAAATAGTTGTGAAAGAATATGAAAAAAGAATTAGAAAATTAAAAATACTAAATATAATAATTTCATAATTCTTATGAATAAGTATTTTAGTATTTTTATTTTAGCTCACTTATAACTGTTATGAATTCAAAGATGAAATTTATAAATAAAACTTAATTATTTAATCTTAAAATAATACTATAAAAGAACAAGAAGCATTGCTAAATAAGTTAGAAAACAATTAGTAAAGAAACAATATGTAGTTTAGTCAAATGATGGAAAATTGAAAGAAGAGATTAGAATAAGCCTATTCTTATCAATTAGAAAACTTGAAAAAATCATTTTAAACTTAGGTAAGCATTATAGAAATATTGTAGATTATATTATAATAATAATAATAAGCTGATGAAAGTTTAATAGGAAAATAAAAGTTGATAAAAATAAGTGTTGCAGAATTTTTAAATATTTATTCAAGTATTTTTATTTTATGAAACAAATGAGAAAATAATTTTACTATTTAAACTTGACAATTCTGAAAATTTGTTTTTCTTTTATTTTTCATATATATTATTTCTTAAGTTCTTCTACACTTTCCTTTTTTGCTCTGAATAAGTTTTTATAAACAATATTCTCATTATATAATTTATTATTATCCAAGATAGTTCGTAAAGAAATTAAAAGTAATATATTTTGATTAATAGTTATTAGTCATATATTAACATAAATCATGACATTATATGATAAATGCTCATTCATCGATGTCTTCATTTGATAAAATACAATCTTCAATAGAGTTAATAATTTCAAATCTGACTCCATTTATAAGCACATTATATTATCGATGAGGATCTTGATTAAGAAATACATTACTTAATGGATCATAATTTTGAGGTTCGGAAGGAACAATAAAATTTAAATGAGGATTAATATAAATTTGTTTTGGATTAGTTATTTTTTCTAGAATTGAAGGGTTTGAGGAATATTACGAAATAGGATTAGTATTGATTGGGCTTTTAATGTTCTTACTATTTTGGCAAATTCCCATAATTTTCTAAATATATGAAAAATTTACACAAAAAAATATAGTTTTTAAATTATAGAAATAAGGGATTAATACTGAGCATTTTTATATTACTAGTCTTTTTCATATTTAACTATGATTATACATTGTTATGAAATGATAAATTAGTTTATTAGGTAAATTAATGATTGGAATAATTATTCAGCAAATATTTCAATGTATCTTTTATAAGTATTTAGTGTTATAAAATATTTTCACTCACATCTTGAACCTTTAAAATATATTTGAAAATACTTTCATTTTTGATTACTTTTAGCAATTTTTATGATTAATCAACAACAAGGAAAGTGATATTTTAATTTGGCCTGTTGATGATTTATAAATTCTTAATACATATTAAGGTTTTAAGAATACTTAAGAATGAGATATATTAAATAGAAGTTTTTAAGTCATTTTTTAATTTGATTAAAGACAATAATATAAGATTACTACAATTACGATAATATTATTAATTTACATTTGTTGAGATTTATATAGAATTAGACTAAATTGTATTATAAAAAATAAAGTTTAGGCAAAAGAAAAAATATAAAATACAATGAATTATTATCTCTTAAAACTAAAAGAAATTAAGAAAATTATTGAAAAAAATAAAAATGCTATTGTTAAAATTCTCCAATATTGCTGCTTATTTTAAAATTGTTTAATTGACAACAATATTTCGATTAAGGATTAAACAATTCAATTCCTCTTTTATTAAAATTATTTTACATCAATCTTAATATTATTTGGAGTAAACTATTGTTGTTACTGTTATTTCCTTTTCTATTAATAGATATCGTCAAAACAAACTGAGGAGTTGCTTTCATTTGGAAACTATTTTTTCACTTAATTTACATCCCAAGGAGGCTTATAAACACTTGAAGCATTTGAACTATCAAGATGAATCTAAAATTCTTTTTATACAATTGGTTTATATGCCAAACTATTTTTTGGAGATTACATATTTTAATTGACTTTTATAGTTACTCCTTTTAATTGATCAGGTTTAGGTATTTCTTTATTTTCTGAGAAATTAGAGTTTAATTATTGATATTACTTATTTTATAGATAAAGATTTGATTATTATTATTATTATTATTATTATTATTATTATTATTATTATTATTATTATTATTATTATTATTATTATTTAATCTATTTATTCTATGATTAATAGTCTTATTAAAATTATTATTTTTCTAAACCTTAATATTCCATTACACGAGTTTAGTTATTTTGTTTCTACTAATAATATAGTAAAACTGCATTACTTATTAATTGTTTTATTTTTCTATAAGTTTCTAATAATTTGATGTAAATATTTCTGATTTAGGAATATTTTTATAGGATGGACCAATTTACTATTCTATTCTACTTTTTAGGTTCATTAGATCTGAATTAACTTGAAATACTAAATCTTATTCTTCTTAATCTTCATCAAGTTAATAATTTGGATTTTAAATAGAAGCTTCATTCAAAGCTTAAGGTTTTTTATCTTTAATTATTCGACTATATTCTTTATTTATTTGTTTCTGTTCCTAACCACTATCAGTATCAGAAGGAAAGTTTTTCTTCAAAATAACATTATTCTTCTTGAAAATTTCTTAAGATTTATTGGAAATAGGACTAGGAGATTTACTTTTATCATCTAAATCTGTAAAATCTTCAGAAGATGATTCACCTGCTTTTCTTTATTTTTGATTCTACCTTCCTCTATTTGATATTTGATTAATTGAATTATTAGTTCCAAAACTATCCAACATTTATATATTTTGATTTTAAAAAGAATTGGTTTGCTTATATAATTAAGTTATATTCACTTCTTAAATTGTAGTGTTTTATGTAATAATATTTGACTTAAATCTAAAATCTTTACTAATTCTCTCAAATTCATGTTAAAAAGTCAATATTTTATTTTCTTTTTGTAAAAGGTTTTTGATATCTTTCAGATTATAAAATGAATTAATAGTAAACTTACAATTTGAAAGAAAATGTCCATTTATGTATAAACATTCATGAATCATCAAATTTTCATTACTAAAAGTTAAGGCCTTATTTAACAATTCATAATTATCTGGTTCATGAAAAGTGAATTATCTATCATATTAAAATTTATTTGATGAAAAAGACCTATCTGGATGAGATGGGCCTATTTTCGATTAGCCCATTATATATTATTATTATTATTATTATACTATATATTATTTAAATTAACTTGTATTCTATCTTAAAAGATATAATTAAATTTGAATGGATTTAGAGATCTTTAACAAGCATTTAATCAATTAAAGCATTATTTTAACTATTAAATTTGTTGAATATCTCTGATACTCAAATATATATTAATTTAATAAAACAATATAATAATGGCAGCTGCCGTTCAAGTGTATTCAGATGCCATCAGAAAAACATTAGAAGCTACATTATGTTTGAGAGCATTTCCATCAGAAATAATTGAAAAACAAAGCAAACCAGAAATTGAATTGAATGGGTAATGATATTGATTTCTATAATGTTTAGTTATTCATCAAAAACTAGACAACTAGTATTATCACCTATATATTTGTGTAGAAGTGAAAAAGAGAAATGTGTTATTGAACCTTCTATTAATTCAACAAGAGTAATTCTAGATTATAGAATATATAGATCAGCTTCTCAATTAAAGCTCTAGATGAAGTAGATAGATTAATAGGTGAAAAATTTGCTAAGTATTTGGCAGTCAGAGCTGATTATTTTGAAATTTTAAGAAGGAAACCAATTCCAGTAAGTTTTTATCTTATTATTTTTAGGGATATGATATAAGTTTCTTGATTTTGGATTCTCATTTAGAAAAATACAGTGTTCAAGGGATTATTAATTTTATTATAGATTATGTGGAAAATATTGATAAGGATCTTAGTGACATCAAATTAAATATAAACACTTAAGCAAGAATTACAGCTGCTTGTTTTGTAGGAGGATTAGCAAATTAATGAGTATTAAATAAAAAATTATATATTATCAGTTGATCAAATTTTATAAAATAAATTTGAAATAATAACAAAATATGAAAGTCTAATAGTAAACTGATTATGACACTAGAGTTACCTATGTTCCTTAGAAAAAGAAAGAATTTTAATATCATACTAAATAACCAGAAATTAATGTTCTCTAAAACTATTAATCTTAAAGCAATAAAATAGAATCTATACCTGGTCATATTAGATCTAAATCATATGAACATGATTGTTTTACTAAAGCATAAAATACATTTGGAATTAACACAGATTAATCATAACTATAACCATTAAAAACTAAACGATAACATAGCATCTCTTAAAAAGAAAATGATCCTGGATTTTTATCTCCTAAATTCAGATTTGAAAGTTGTGATACTCTTATTACTAGAAAATCTTAAAAGTATTAATTTCTTATTTATCATTTATTTCAGTAGTTTCATTAATGAATTATCAGAATGTGTGGATCTTTCAAAAGTGACAGAATTATCTATGCAATCATAGATATCTCCATGTAAAACTTAAAGTGAATTGTATTAAAAAATAGAAGCAAAAGATAATTTAATTGATGAACTATAAAAATAATTGACTAATACTTTAAAAAATATGACATAATAGATAGATTTATTAAGAAATGAGAAGAATAAAGTTATTTAATAATAAATTAGATAAATTGAAATCTATGAATAATAATTATTGGAATCCAGATAAGAAATATAATAAAAGAATAAGGAATTATAGCTTTTAAAAAAAAATCAAAAGGATATTAAAAAAGTTCTTGATTTTAGATAAGAAAAATATATAATAAATTGTAAAATTTTGAATATATTTTATAATAGCTACTCCTTAAAACTTTTAATCTAAAAAAGAATGTATGTGTTCACAACTTGAAAGAGAAAATAAAGCTTTGTTGGCTAAAGTTGATTAATTTAGATAATAACTTCATGATCTCAAATAAAATCTTGAATTTAATAATCTCTCTATTAATAATCAAATTTCTGTTATTGAGAAATGTGACTTAACATAATTTGAAAAAACTTTTAAGCAATTAGCAGATGAACTTAATTTAACTATTGATAGCAAAAATATTAATTCTAGTTTTAGTTTATTAAATCATGAAGTTATAGAAGGTGTTAAAACATTAAAATAATAGTTTAAAGAAAATGAAAAATTTATCAGATGTTTAAAAGATTTAGTTATATAATGTGCACCATAAGATTATTTTTGTTAATCAGATCCAAGCTTAAAAGAAGTTTGGAAATTCATTAAATAAATATTATAATCTTATCTTGAACATAAGAAATAGGCATAATTAAATGAAGTAAAATTTTATTAATTATATAAGGACATAGTATTTACATTATGTAAATATTTTAGATGTAATAAAGGAGAATTGAATCATAAGGGAGCTTGTCTTATAGTGGATTAAGAGGTTTATTAAAAAATAGTTGATAAAATTAAAAGAATATTAAATTTAACAAATTTAAGTAATATAAGAGAACTTGATAGAAAATTGGACTATTATTTACAATGAATAAGATTTAAGATAATTTTGAAGCAATTTTGCTTATATTTTTATTTAATTCCAAATCATTTAGTTTAATAATATATTAATCGTTTTTTTGAATCATTAAATTAATAATTTAATTAATCATATTCTTAATTAGTTTATTTAATAGATGAATAAAATAATAGGAATTGTAAAAGTAATTATTGATAGATATTCTCTTTGTATATTATTATTCAGAATATTTTGTATAATTTCTGATATACAGAATATAGATTGATATTTATGAGTTTTTATATAATTCATGTTGCCTTTTTGAAAATCAAAACATTATTAATTTTTAATCAATTTTATCAAAATAATAAACATTTCATTTTTGTTATATTTTATTTTTTTCTTCTAATTCATTTTATAGTCTTTATTTTTCCTCACATAATTATGAAACTTATTATGTTAAATCAGAAACGATATTTTACATTAATTAGTAATGTTCTTCAAGTTCATTTGCTCTTTTTTTCATTTCTTCTACATGATATTCCTCTTATGAATGCATTGTTTATTTTAAAACATTATTTTCTTATTATAGTTATTAAACTATAGAATTGGAATTTTTTAAGTTTTTATTTGTAGAAATTACAATTTCTTGTAATTTTTTGTTTTCTGATAATAGAACACTAAAAGTATAAATGATTAAATTACTGCAATTTACTAATTGTTTTTGATTAGGAATCTTGACTATCTTAAATTTATTTATCTTTATCCAAAACAGATTATTTTAATTATTGATTTTATTGTTTTAAGGAGGTAATTTCTTTTTCTAGTTTTTCGTTAAATATAATCACTGCTTATAATTAATCTGTAAGATATCTAACTTAATCTTATTTGGCATTTGCAACTTAAACTGACTTAACACTTCCGCTATCACTTGGTTCATAATAAATGGAGGATCTAAATTAATACATTTTATTAACAAAATAAGTCTTGTATAATTAAATTAATAAAACTTAAATATTATTAATTACATTTACTTATTAGTAGAAGAATGAAACAATTGCTTAAATTGATTCATTTATCTATTTCAATTATAATAGAATTGGAACATAACAAAAAAAGTAATTAAAATATTTCTAATTATTATTAATACTTGTTAAACTTCTTTATTTCTAATATTTTTGAAATGAATATATATAAATTTATTGATATCATATCTGTTTAATTTAATATTTTTACTACTGTAGAATATTTAATTAATTATGATTCTTCAAAATACTAAACAATTTTTTAAGAAAAAGGTAACGTTTATGAATTGTATTATATTTGAAATGGAAAATAAGATTATATGTGATAAATTTATAAAAAAATAAATTAGATGAATATCATATCATTTAATTAAATTAATGTTATTTGAAGGGTATGATAAATGAACAATTGATTTTGATTATGTTAATATTTAAATAAATAAAAGATGTTTTTATATTTACTTATACCTACACTATGTTTTGCATAAAGATTTCTTTAAGCAGATGAAACTTGTTATGGTGTCATTTTAGATTGTGGATCTTCAAGTACAAAGACTACAATATATTCTTGGCCATGTAGAACTAGTAAAATATATCCTTTAACCGACATCACTTAAGAAGTAATTGAATTAGAAAATTTGTTAGTCATAATAATTAAAGACAAGTCCAGGAGTATCAACTAAATATCCTGATGAGATCTCCACATATTTAGCCCCTATATTTGAATTCATAAATTCTAAAGTGCCAGTAACTCAAAAAGAATATACACCAATATTCATGGGAGCCACTGCTGGAATGAGATTATTAGATATCAATAAATAAAATGCACTTATAGATGAGATCAGAAAGCAACTGAGTAGAAGTGGTTATTTATTTCAGGCTGACAATTGGGCTAGAGTAATATCAGGTCAAGACGAAGTAATTACTATTTTGATGTATAGGCCACATATCTTTGGTTAGGAGTTGAGTATCTTTTGGGTAAAACTGACGGAAGTTTAATCACTATAGACTTAGGAGGTGCTTCAACTTAGATTGCATTTAAAGTGGATTACATATAATATGAATCAGATATAGTTACTTTAACATTGCCTGATGAAGACATCAATTTATATGCCATCTCATATCTTGGTTATGGTAATGATTAAGCTAGAGATGCTGTTCTTGCAAAAAGCATCAGTGGAACTTAAGTCATTAGTCCATGTTATCATCAAGGATATAGTGGAACTTGGACCTATTAAAAAGTTTAGTATTCTTTATCAGGAAGTGGTAATGTAGAATAATGTTAAGCTTTGATATAATCTTTCTTAAATAGCTAATGTAGAACAGTAAAAGATGAGTTATGTGGAATAAATGCAATTGATTAACCTTAATTACCTACATCTTATTCAATTTATGCAGTAAGTGGTGTGGCTACAATTGCTAACTTTCTTTAACTTAATACTTTCAAAGTAATTGTTTTTATATAGATAAAAAATAGTTACCATAATTCTTAAGTTAAGCCTAAGAATTCTGCAAGATGAGTTGGTCATAAGTTTAAGCAAATTCTACTTATTCATCAAATCAATATGTAAGCACTAACTTTTTCTTATCACTCTATGTTCATTAATTATTATCAATAGGATATAATATTCCAGATACTATGTAAATTATCTTAATAAATTTTAGGGATATCAATGCTCCTTTAGTAATTAATTCTTAAACACCTACCTGGGCTATGGCAGCTGTTCAATATTAATTGGCTTAAGTTGACTGTGATTTAGATAGTTCTATTTGTCAAGGATCAATTTTAAATTTAATGGCATTCCTTTGTTTAATGATATTTTATTCGTGATTTGTGCTTATTTGAAAATTATTATATTTAATATGAATATTGAAAAATAATTAAGGGAAGATTACATTCATGACTTTCATACTTTTCTTAGAAAAAATGAAACAGAAACTAAATAAAAAGTTAAAAAAACTCTCCTTCCTTTACCATGGCAACCTAATCATCCTTTTAGATTAGTATGGGATATCATTTGTATGCTTTTTATTGTAATTCAAATGATGATCATTCCTCTTAATTTATCCTTCGAGATTGATGATAAGGGATTGTCTTTGTTCATGGAAATTATGGATGATTTCTTCTTAGTGGATATTCTTATTCAATTCAATTGTGCTATTTATATAGATGGTAAATTAATATTAAAAAGATCAACCATCATTTGCAACTATCTTAAATTCTGGTTTTGGTTGGATCTTATTAGTTCATTACCATATGATTATTTTGTTGAAGTAAATATCAACATTATGGTAGGGAGGCAATGTACAAATGATAAGAATGTTAAGATTCTTTAAATTTCTTAAAGTAATCAAAATGATTAAAGCTTTTAAATTGAAGCTCTTAATCAGAAGATTAGAGACCTTTTTTGGAAATGACTTCTCATCTTTAATGGAATTTATCAAATTAACATTTATAATAGTAGTTTTAGCTCATTGGAGTGCTTGTATATTTAATTTGACTAATCAAGACGATTATGATTATTTAACATCATTCTATTTCACGTAAAATGTCAAAATTGATAATTTAGAATTACGACTATGATCACTGTAGGATATGGAGATGTTCATCCATATACAGCAGAAGAATAAATATATACAATATTTGCAATGATTTTAGCATCAGGTGTTTTTGGATATACTGCAAATAGCATGATATCTATTTTTCAATATGAAGATCCATAATTAACAGAATTGATCATGAAATAGTAGATCATCAATAAATACACTAAAACCCATGGTTGCTCAGGTAAATTAAGACTTAAAATTCAAAATTATTTAGAATGGGTAGTAGAAAATGATTATGAAGTAAGATCATCATTAATGATATCTGATCTATCTGAAGAATTAAGAAATTAAGTAATAACTCATATGAACTTAAGATTCTTCAAAACTCTTCCTATAACAATGAATAGAGCCATCAAAATTAATGAATATAGTAAATCTATTTAATTATTTTTAGTTCTTCCTCCAGAAACTATAATTAATGATGATCATCATATTTATTATATTATTTAAGGTAAAGTATCAATTATGGCCAATAATATACATCTTGGATATGCAGAGTAATGTTTTGGAACAATAAATTTTTTTTCTAATATTCCAAGAACTGCTGAATTAATTACTACTGAAACTACTAATTTAGTAAAATTATCTAGATAATAATTCTTATAATCATTAAATTATGAGTAATTCTAAAAATTTCACATGATAAAACAAAAATTGGAAAATAATGATTTTTTAGATCTAAATATAAAATGTTTAGGATGTAATCGCAAAGGTCATGTAATTAAATATTGTTAACAATTTCATTATGTATCATCAAGATTAATGAGACCAAAAATTAAATTCTTGAGGATTCGTAATAAAAAATAAAGAACTATTTACAATTAAAAATAAATTGAATATTACTTAATAATGCAAGCAAGAAAAATTAATACTAAAAAAATGGTTAAAAAAGAAGAAATTAATTAAACTATAAATTAGAATTTTGACATTGATGAAATCAAAAATTACATTCATTTTGATATTGAGTGGAACATCAATGAAGTTTTAAAATCATATCGCTTAAAAACAGTATATAGATATTGTTAAGCAATAATTAAAAAGAACTTAAAATTCTTAATTCGTTAGAATCTTTAAAAGTGTAATAATGAAAAACGATTTCGTTTAAAGAGTGAACTTAAACCAAATTATATTTAGAAATATAAAGATTAAAATATGTAACACAAGATAATGGATTGAAATACAGTATCATTGTTAAATTTATGATTTATTTTTTAACTTTTTCTCTAGTTAAGGAAAACCAATAAACACAGCTGTTATATTATCGAAAGTTTTTCTTTATAATGACAATCTCATTATGGCTTCTACAGCCTTACCACCAAAAATATGTATGTTTGATGTTTGTACATTCCAAGCACATTATATAACTTCTTCTGTACTCATTTTATCATAGATACCATCACCTTAATCAAATGATAAAATTACATGCTAAAATTAAGAAATCTTAATCTGTAATTTATAACTAAAAGATATCAGGTTCAGATGAAATAACATTAGGAATACCTCCATATTTAGTTAATTTAGCTTCAGCATCTCCAAATGTTCTTGAAACAGCTAATCTTCCTGGTAAAACTCTATGTGGTCCTAATTAAATTTCACCATTTAATTATTAAAGTTATGTTTAATAAATTTATCCTCCAAATTTATTAATTCTTTATTATTCTTCTTAAGTTGATGGTTTATGATCAACTGTTATTGATTTCCCTTTTCCACCTTGAGATATAATTGCTCTTGAATCACCTATATTTGCAACATAACAATTATTATCAACAAATAATGCAAATACTGCACAACAACCAGATTTATCTAACACTTTTTAATCAGCCATTTCTAAATAAGTTTTCTCTGCTTTTGAGACTCCTCTTTCAATTGCAAGTTTAGGATTATTTGGAAAACAATCTTCTTTAATAATCTATTTAATATCATTATTTTTACATATTAATGCAAATTATCTCTCATAAAATCTGCACATTATGGTCCTCCATGACCATCATAAACTGCAAAAAATGAACTCTAAGGCCAATAACCTTAATTCACATTAGAATTTGGTCTCATTAAATTTAAAATAATTGAAACTCTATCTTCGTTATATTATCTAACTAGACCTTAGTGAGTATTTGCTGCATATGCTGATATTATCCCTATATTTTTTTATGAAATTTTTGATGGTTCTATTACAGGAAGACTTTCTAATGGAAGTAAAGGAGAATTATTTCTTTATTATTATTTACTTTTAGTGACAGTAGGTTATGATTATCTTGATCTCAATATTTCTTTTCTTAATGGAGGTAAGACTGTTGAATCATCTTGTTTTGGTTAATCTAAGCTTACATTTACTC